AAGAGGGACAGAGAGGCGGCTAAACTAATCTCGGCCGATCGCCTCCGCATACATCATGGGGCCTTTGAGTTCGAGAATCAAGTGTGACCTGTGAGTTTGACGATGCAAAAAATACGTCGGCGGTTGTATTGAATTTTTTTCATAGATGCATATACATGTAGGGCTGGGGTTCTCGAGAGAAACTTCAACTTAAAGTTTCGTGAAAAACACCGTTTATTCTCCAATTATTAAGCGCAGCACATTCGCACGCCATGGCAGTTGAGACGAGAGAGAGCGAGCCTCGCACCTTTCATTCGGTTTATTTTACCGTTTCACTATCTGAACGTTTCAACAAAATTAAAAAATAAAACTCAAAGTTTGTTTTCTTTTACATTCCTACATTCATTTCATTTCATTTACAGATTTCTCATGTATCCACCCACTCTTGTAACGAAGTTTTGGGTGTCAACCCGAGATCATAGTGTAGGTAAATCATTGATGTTAAGTATTTTTCTGCCCGTGGTATGACAACTACCGTCTGTGTGAGGTACGAATTAAAATCTGAAGTAAACCTGTGATAAGCACAGTGAAAGGAATATCAGACTTCACATTTATTTACAAAATAGCCCTTATCATAACCACATAACCGAGTATTTAGCTTCATATGCTGTCATCCTAGTACCTAAGTCTAAAACTGGACTATTCCCACCTCTCGTTCCCACCGCTGCAACTCCTGTGTAGCCAGGATCTACAGCTTGAACGCCAATAAAAACCCAACCAAGTGAAGGTCAAATTTGTCCCGGGGGAAAGTTAAAGTGTCATTGGACCCGCTACGAAATCAATCAGAAGAACATAAGAGGAGTTCGAGGTTAAAGTTCGACTTCCCTCCATTGCAAAGTAGATTACAGGTAACAAACAAAGGCTTAGTAACCTCTAAGAAAAGATATGCACCACGGACATTAAACATCAATTAAGGGGACCTATCGTATGAGCTATTAACTACCTACCTAAGTCTAAAAGAAAATCTTTCAAAGGGCGATCCTCCGAAACCCGTTTCAGCCGCCATCCCTCGCCACGCCGTGTCTGCTCAGGCATTAACAGTCCCCGGGGATTCGACGCGGTGGACACGACAATTTATGGGCTGCCTTATCGACATACTCGTAACGCATTTATTATACATAACGTATTCCGAAATAACTTATATGTTAATAAATACATAGGGTAGTAGAGTTCAACATACGATTACGTCTCCATGGAGTAGTGGAGAGTTCGGCTCTCTTTATCTGGACGTTCTGGGTTCAATTCCTAAGAGGGACACACATATTGAAAAATCACATCACCAGATCGTCGGTCCTACTAGTGGGATGCCTGCCCACACTACGTCTTCCGACTCGTGGTCGCCACTCGAGAACTTTTCTGCCCCAGTCAGCCCACACACAGTATACCTACACATACCTGGTTAGCTACCTATGGTTTAGAGTAAATCAGACGCCTAAAGTTTATTGCAGTGGCTTGGTCAATACAATAAATTAAAGTAATTTTTAAATTTCTTCATCACCTTTGTCATTTGGTCTATATTGCAAGAGCATAACCCTCTCTACCAGAGGTAAATGTCAAACATTTTGAAAATATCCTTTAAGTTAAATAGAATAGAANCAATTTTTGAGATTTACAGACGCGTTTTTAATGCAACCTGACCTTTTATTGTCTGGAGAAATAAGTTATCTTGGGACAAATGGACGGAAGACGCGCTCGGGGCAGGGCACCGACGAGATGGTCGGACGCGGTGAGGAAGACGGTGGGCGGGAGTTTGCATCGTGCGGTCCACACAGCTTATGACCGCAGTCTGTAGAGGAACACTATCTGTGGTCGCGATCCTCATCAGTGAGGGACCGAGGAAGAAGAAGAAGACCTTTTATTTGACCTATAGACGATGAAGCTGAAATGAACGAATGAACGAAAGTAAATGACGTACAAGCCTATTTGCAGAAAATAAACAACTTGTGTTAAATCTATTCTCCCTCTCTCTTTCTCTACTGTGAACTCCCCTTACTCTATATTCTCTGTTATATTTCTATGGTCATTTATCATGAAATCTTTATGATCGACAAAGATTTATTTCCGAGACGCAAAGGCAAAAAGTATTTTAAACCCAATCCGCAGTCCATTAGCAGTATTTGAAAAGAGAGAGATGGCCGATATCTAATTAGTATCTAAAATGAGAGAGATGGCTGATACCTAAGCCCGTGATAAGCTCGCCTATGAACGGGGTTCCGCCTAAACTTCGTTAAAGACTAAAGTATGTCAAGTTAAGGGTTGCAGCTTAAGTTGCGATCGATAAGCGATTATGTAAACATTATTATATTTTTTTATCATCAACATTTGGGCTGTAGTAGCAATCATCATCATCATCATTTCAACCACAGGACGTCCACTGCTGAACATAGGCCTCCCCCAATATTTTCCATGTTCCATGTAGTACCTAGCAATAGTGACAAACGTTATTATGACTCGCCCTAAACATCTCACATTGCTGGAGTAAACAAAAACGAGCCTTACCTAACTTAACTTTAACACTAAAATTGACTGTGGATCAGAGATTTTACCTTCATTTTTTTTTATTTTTTCTTATTTCGAACAAGTCAATAATGAACTCGAAAAAAAGCAGTATTCTCCGAAAATACGTCAAAGCTTTTGCCCTCTACTTTTTCCGCGTGAATTTCGATATTTCACAGAATGTCTATATTACGTGAGTTGAGTACGCGTCCCTTTTCCAAAAACCGGAATAAAACTTCGTTGTTTTTCCCCTGGGTGAGACCTAGCTATCTCTACACTTTACTTTTAACTACGTTTTTTTTTCTTTAAAAATAATACATATTAGTAATTTGGTAATACACAAAGCACTAATAGCGTTAATACCGTTAGGCCCTCGTACTACTACGTGAATTGGTTGTATGAAATGATTTTCAAATCCGCTCTAAGTTCATACTTTGAGTAAATTTTAACGCTCCGCTAAAGTTCAAAAGTTTCACGCGTCATTAACTAAGGCTAGGATAGAAAAGAATTAATGCTCGCGATTACCGAGTGCGATTCGATAAATCATTCGATTTTACATGATAACATTCGAATAACAACTCTCGGAAACTGTAATGGAACTTGAAATTAATTTTATTGAACATAGACTAGGTACATAATGTTATCTTTGAGAAAGCTTTTTCCTTTCTTTTGTTAGACATGTTTTGTTTTCTGTATTTTGACGCCCATGATACGTAAAGACGACGGACGTACATCAAGTTAAACACTGTGGCATATAATAATAATGTACTATGGCAATATAGTATACTTGTGCAATTTCGCAAGAAAAAGTTGTATACAGGGTGTTAGGTAAATGGGTATATTATGAGCCGACACTAGCCCATGTTAACATGGGCATATAAATGGTATGGTGAAGTCAGAAATTTAATATTATGATTTTATTTTTTTTAATTTTCATACAAAATATATTTTATAAAATCCGATTTGTATGAAAATTAAAATAATTAAAATTAAGATATCAATTTTCTGACTTCACCATACCATTTATATGACCATGTTAACATGGGCTAGTGTCGGCTTATATACCCATTTACCTAACACCCTGTATAGTCTGCCGTTGACTGTCTGTACCTAGTCACTCCTTAATGATTAATGTTTGCATATCAATACTAATATTATAAATGCGAATGTCCGTCTTGCTTTCACGTCTAAACCACTAAACCGATTTTGATGAAATTTGGCATAGAGATACTATGAGTCCCGGGAATGGACAAAGGATACTTTTTATTCTGGTTTTTGATACAGGGACGCGCGCGATAAAGTTTTTCTGTGACAGACTAAATTCCACGCGGGCGAAGCCGCGGGCGGAATGCTAGTCATTAATAAATTAATGTACCTACCTAAGATTGTATTGTGGAAGAGGACATTTAAGCATTTTGTCATAATGGATTGAAAAAGGGCATAAAAAGGCTTTACATACCGAAATCCACATGAAATCTAGTACGATTCAATATAAAACAATATCACGAAATATCTCAAAAAGCCCTTTAGATTTCCATATCCAAATCCTCGGAGATCGTCCCTCCTCCTTAACATTCCCGTAGGATTGTGTTTATCAAAAACATAACGCGTTTATCGAATCAAGAGGGACAGAGAGGCGGCTAAACTAATCTCGGCCGATCGCCTCCGCATACATCATGTGCCTTTGAGTTCGAGAATCGAGTGTGACCTGTGAGTTTGACGATGCAGAAAATACGTTGGCGGTTGAGTACCTATTGATTTTTTTTTTCATGGATACAGATCTTCTCACTCATCACTCTTGTAACGGAGTTTTGGGTGTCAGCCTAGGATCATGGTGTAAATCATCGATGTTAAGTATTTTTCAACTACCATCTGTAAGGTACGAATTAAAATCTGAAGTAAACCTGTGATAAGCACAGTAAACAACACGTCAGAGTACACATTTACTTACAAACTAGCGGCCGCCCGCGACTTCGTATGCGTGGATCCCGTTTTAACCCCTTAGGAGTGGAATTTCGTAAAATCCCGTCTTAGTGAGCACCTACGTTCTAAAAGTAAAAGTACCATGCAAAATTTGAGACTGCTAGCACTTGTAGTTCCCGAGATTTCGTGATGAGTGAGTCAGTCGATCCTTTGTGACCTTAAGCTTTTATAGATATAGAAGATTAGCAACTCTCACCATGGACATAAGATGTACACTTTTAGCTTGATATAGTGTCGCCCGTACATCCTAAAGGTAGGTCCAAAGACAATCTTTCAAAGAGCGATCCTCTGAAACCCGTTTCAGCCGCCATCCCTCGCCACGCCGTGTCTGCTCAGGCATTAACAGTCCCCAGGGATTTGACGCGGTGGACACGACAATTTATGGGCTGCCTTATCGACATATTCGTAACGCATTTACATAACGTATTTCGAAATAACCTATATGTTAATAAATACATAGGGTAGTAGAGTTCAACATACGATTACGTCTCCATGGAGTAGTGGAGAGTTCGGCTCTCTTTATTTGGACATTCTGGGTTCAATTCCTAAGAGGGACACACATATTGAAAAATCACATCACCAGATCGTCGGTCCACCTAGTGGGATGTCTGCCAACACTACGTCTTCCGACTCGTGGTCGCCACTCGAGAACTTTTCTGCCCCAGCCAGCTCAGGTATGTGTAGGTATACATACACGTACCCGGTTAGCTACCTATGGTTTAGGTAAATCAGACGCCTAAAGTTTATTGCAGTGGCGTGGTCAATACAATAAATTAAAGTATTTTTTAAATTTATTCATCACCTTTTNGGCTTCTCCATGTTTCTCAATGGCCTCGCTCCATAGATGTGTGGCATACACGAGAAGATCACCTGTAGAACGACCATACCGAAACCCATACTGACGGTCGCTGAGTAGGTCATTTTCTTCAAGGTATGACAGGAGTCGGCCATTGAGGACACGTTCCATTATCTTGCAGAGTATAGACGTAACAGAGATGGGTCTGTAATTTGTTGGATCAGCACGACTGCCCTTTTTAGGTACGGGCTGTACGTTGGCAAGCTTCCATGATTTTGGGACTAGTCCAGTCTTAAGTGAGAGTCGATACAGGCGTGTAAGAATAGGAGACAACTTCGGCGCACAACTACGCAGGACTATCGCTGGAATTCCGTCAGGTCCACTAGCTTTATTTACGTCAAGAAAACGTAAGACATTTAAAACCTCTTTGTGTCGTATGCGGACCTCACGCATGGTGGTGGAGGCAGGGGGTAATGAGGGTGGTATTTTGCCTGCAACGTCAAGACGGGAGTTATCAGCGAACAGGGTGGCAAAAAGATTCGCCTTTTCCTCAGCAGAGTGAGCCAGTGAGCCGTCGGGTTTCAGCAGTGGTGGCAGGCTGGGGCGACAGAAGTTGGATTGGATGGCCTTGGCAAGGGACCAAAATGGTTTAGACCCGGCTGGGTAAGAAGCAAGTTTTGAGCCAATGCGTCCAATATGGTCGTAGCGAGCCCTGCGTAGTGTTCTTTTGCAAGACTTGGAGGCCTGGTTGTAGGCTTTCTTCAGATTGCGAGTGTCTGGTGAGCCGCGCGTTCGAGCATCTGCCCATGCCAGAAACGCCGACTGCTTACACGCTTCAGCATGACGGCAATCAGCATTGAACCAAGGGCGAGCTTTGCTACCTGAGGCAATGTCTGAGTAGGGAACAAAGAATTCCATACCCTGACGTATAACCTCGGTGATGGCATCGGCGCAAATCGTTGGATCTTGAGAAGAAAAGCAAGCCGGCCTCCAAGGAAAAGATGCGAAAAACTGGCGCATCTCGTCCCAATCTGCTGACTTGTATCGCCATACTCTTCTTACTCCACAAGGGCCACGATCGGATGGGGAGTATGACGATACAGCTTTCACCAGGCAGTGGTCAGAAGTTCCAAGAGGAGCAGCAACCATGGTGGAATATCTGTCTGGATCTGATGTCAGCACAAGGTCTAGGCAATTGGCTGTGTGAGTGTCGACGTCCGGGACCCTGGTTGCACAGTCTATCAATTGGGAGAGATCAAGTGTCAGAGCTAGTTTACGTGCCTCTCTCCCAGCGTGATCGGTCACCTGATATGGGAAGAGCCATTCTTGATGATGTGCATTGAAATCTCCCAAAATCACCAACTGTGCAGAGGGGTATCGGGCTAGTGCCTTATCAGCTGATTGGCTGAGGTAGTCGAACAGCCGGGTTGTCTCATGGTCACCGCTGTGCGAACGGTAAACACAGGCATAGAGTAATTTCTCTAGGCCTGTGTCCACCAAAACCCAAATTACAGAGAATCCAGGAACCTCCAGGCATTTGAGACGCTTGATGCAAATGTCATCGCGGGCATAGATGCAGACTCCCGCCCGGGCTTGGAATTTGTGTTCCAGTGTATACCCAGGGTAGAACAAGTATGCTGCGTCGGCTGGACATTTGATCTGCGTTTCTGTGAGGAACAGCAGTTGCGGTTTTTCAGTCTCTAGATGGTGGTGGACTGCAGAGAGATTGGAGTGCAGCCCTCGTATGTTGGTGAGGTGCACTTTAAGTGGGAGGACGTGCAACCGCTGTTTAATTTTTTTCTTTGTTCTCTGTGCTTTCATTTTATGTTTTGTTGAGAGTGAATAAGTAGGAAGAGTATGGCAGTTGAGCGAGGCATTTTCGTGTATGCCCGGAGAGGCAGGCAGGGATAGCAGACCGTGTGGAGCCTAACCTGGAGACCGCGGGGACGCCCGAACCCCCCCAGAGATGGCCACCTGGTCCTCCCGTCCGGTCGCCAACCGGCAAGGTGGAGCATCCTGGGATTTTTCGCTAGGTGGCGGGGCAGCCTTTCACGAGTGGCTGGCAAGCTACTTGGGCCCCCAACTTCCTGCGGTCAGCCAGCGGTGCACTGTGCTTCGGATCCCGCTAGCCTCCAGAATCAGGCACCTGATGCGCCTACCCCATCAAACTCAGGACGGCGATGTCACGAACTACGCAACTGCTCAGACCCATACTCTCAAGCGGCTTCCCCAGAACACGCTCCGGAACACGGTGTAATCCGTTTGGCGGCGCGGTTTAGTCTGGGGGGTGGTGACCAGCCCCGGCCGAGGCCTACCACCGGCAATTGGCTACTCATTTGGCACCACCCAGGGGTCACTTGTGGGGTCTCGAGGGTAAACCCACGGAAGCGAGTAGCATTGACCCCCATGACCTTTGTCATTTGGTCTATACTGCAAGAGCACAACCCTCTCTACCAGAGGTAAATGTCAAACATTTTGAAAATGTTCTTTAAGTTAAATCACCCAAAGCTTCTCTAAAAAAACATCTGAAACGTTAACACGGAGTTAGTCATGTAAAAACTGGAATTAAATTCGTCTTTGTGTAAGAACCATTACGAATGAGGACGTTATAGGAGAATTCTCATAATGTTTACTGGAGTGTGAAAGTATCTCTGGAATAACTTTTATGAGAAAACGCTGGAAGATTTTCTGAGTGAATTATATTTCTGCAGTTATTGTTTTAGGCTAGGTTTGTTTTTGGATGGATATTGAGACTTTGAACTGTAACAACCGCAGCAAATATGTAAATAACTTACGACGGCATCAAATGACACACTGATATCTTATTTCTTAGTATAATATAATAGATAGATTGATCAATTTTATTTGTTTATTGAATCATCCGCTCCGTGTATAACAATTTACATGAGTAAATTGTACGAAATAACCAGTGTTTCTCAATTTAAGTGAATGTATTTACAGTATTGAGAAATAAATGTCTTAAGCCGTAAAAATGTGTTACAGCCATATTTATGGGCTGGTTACTAATAGGTACCTTATTCCCGTTTTCACCATCAATCCCTAATTTTTAAGTGACCCCTATGGGTAACACATAACAAGGTTTTCAGAGGTCACTTAAAAATTTGGGATTGATGGTGAAAACGAGCATTAGTTTCCTACTTAATATGCAAACAGATGACCTTATAAAGAGGAGACGCGCTGGATGCAAGCCGTTACCATTTCTATTTTTTGCCGCTACCATAAAGAAATAATGAACTGATCATATTAACTTGAACAAAAGTGCCTTACAAACGAGCTTTATATAGTATAGACTAGCTTTTCGCCCGCGGCTTGGCGCGCGTGAACTACATTATCTACATATTTTACGGAACCATATTTTTTTCCAAAATAAAATTTAGCCTATGTTACTCGTGGATAATGTAACTTTCGAATGGTGAAAGAATTTTTTAAAACGGCCCAGTAGTTTTTGAGCCTATTCATTACAACCAAACAAACAAAGTTTTCCTCTTTATAATATTATAGTGTAGATTACCAAAATTTAAAAAACTGACTTTAGAAATTAAACTGATTACGAAATGCCAAGCTCAAGAAACGTACTTTTACCGGCACCGACTCCGAAAATATCAATCATGGTCATAATAATATCGTCCTAATTAAATAAAAAAATATACCGACCGAATTGAGAACCTCCTCTTTTTGTTGAAGTCAGTTAAAAAAGGCAAAATTGTAGCGTAAGCCAAAGTCGAAATCATAATTGAGAACTTTACAATCAATTAATAAAATATTTCTATAGCTATAGTAAAATCCGAACAAAATACTCTTACAGAGGAAGACAATCGCTATATCATAGATAGAGCAAACCCATTTTCCCAGTAATAAAGTAAACAGCATCGCATTGGTTCCAAGGGAGTCGATACGAAGTCGTGTGACGAGTAAAGAAGGCGATCGTATATTCCGACCCGGACAAATCGCGCCGCGCCCACTACCCGGTGCATATAGGGTTGCTAGGTTTAGTCCTGATTTGTAAAAATACGTTTAAAATCTTTATTTCGCATAACTTTCAAAATACAGTGTAAATTCTGTATCACTACGAGACGTTAAATGGAGTGACACGCTAAAACAACAGTGTCCTTAATGTGTGGGCTACTATAAAGTCAATGATTATTTAAAAGATAACATTGTTTGGGATGCTTAACTGCCTATCTCGCATAAATATTTATAACTAGTGTTAATTGTGAAAAATATAAAACGATAAAATAACGGTATAGATGACCCACGCTGAACTGTCCCACCAAACTCAATGACAGGGGGGCGCTACCATCGTTCAACTATATGGTTTCCAACATGGCAAAAATCGGAACCAGCGATCCGGTATTGACGGTGGCGCCCCACTGTCAATGTCATCGACAGGACAGTCCAGTATTTTGGAACTATATCGTTATAGCCAATGAGCTGTTGTCATAGTGACTTTGACATTATGTCAATGTCACACGAGAATCAAACGTCAGAATAGCGTTACGCGCGGGGACGACTCCCCGCGCTTTTGTGCTAAGTGATGAATTGTATCTAAAATAAGGCAATATACTGTGAAAGTTAAGTATCCAGTGTTTTATTTATGAGAATAGATCTACCGGCCTCTATTACTAGTAAACTATTAAAGTCTGTAAGCCCTTGAAAAAGAGGCTGATAACTTCTTAGCACTGGCCCATTTATTGTCCTGAAGCAGTGGTAGGGTTAATACGGATTCGATACGAAGTCGTGTGACGAGTAAAGAAGGCGATCGTATTCCAGCGCTGAACCCCGGACAAATCGCGCCGCGCCCACTACCCGGTGCATATAGGGTTGCTAGGCCTAATCCAATTTGATTCGTAAAAATACGTTTAAAATCTTTATTTCGCATAACTTTCAAAATACAGTGTAAATTCTGTATCACTGCGAGACGTTAAATGGAGTGACACGCTAAAACAACAGCGTCCTTAATGATAATACCCTATACCCGGTGCATATAGGGTTGCTAGGTTTAAACCTGATTCGTAAAAATATATTTAAAGATCTTTATTGTCATTTGTCGTGCCCTGAGTGCCCGAGCAACTGCATTCAGGAGGATTTAATGAATGCTGCTGACAACGCCACTCTTGTAGCTAAGTTTTGAGCTGGCACTATGTAGGTTTGTTAAGAGGAAGAGAAGATCTTTATTTCCCATATATTTCAAAATACAGTGTGAATTCTTTATAATAACAACTACGAGGCGTTAAATGGAGTGACACGGTGCCGCGGTGAAGCGAACAGAAATCAAAGTAAACCAAGAAAGTCAAGAAAATTCGACTTTATGACGTTATTAAATCGAGTGACGTTTGCACTGTATAAGGTATTTATCGAAGCATACCCATTTTCAAACACGCTTAAGAAGCGCACCTAAACTATTCTTAGTCGCACCATTTATTGTGCTAAGAGTTAGCACCTAATGAACCTAATGAAGCCCATTTAAACTATGCCTCGAAGAGCGCCTTTTAATTGTAAGTACTAAGCAAATTAATGTAATATTTAGTTTAGGTGCGCTTCGAGGAATACCTGAAATTATTAATTTTAGAGTACGCATTCCACTTAAACACCACCGAACTACAACAGTGTATTAAGAAATATCTATTTCTATAGATATGACTAGTAATGTTTAGTTTATAAGTAACTTGAACATAATGTGCCAATTTCTCAATCAATTTTTATTTTACTAAGACCTTTTAAATCTAGTTTTCTGTGCAAAACAAGGCAGAGATTTGACCGCAATAGCACCTGGTATTTGTTAAGTGAGATGGAGTCAAGGATTTGTTTTAAAAAATACTTAGCTATTTATTAACTTATTCACCCAAATGTTCTCTGCTGTGGCAACCCTATCAAATAAGAAACTTCAAAACCGTTGTTACCGAGACCGATGGCATCTCCGCGCGGATCCGAACCTAACACCCACCAAATAGAGTGACGACGGAGCGCGGACGTATGCTAACAACTGGTATACGGGGGAAATACAACGGTGGGGATATGTTACTTGAAATAGTGCGAGGAATTGGTTGGTTATTTGCTTTTTAGAAATAAAAAGAATACAAACAGATCTTATTTAATTCGTGCTTTTCTTGTGGTAAGGTGCAATCGACAGAAGTATATTTTATAAATAACATCTAACACTATTTTGTTTTGAAACCCCTGGTATAAAACCATCAAAAGTTTACGATTTGTATGTGAAATGGATGGAAATACGTGTTTTTTTATCTGGCACATTACGTACATATTAATTTTTAACACACACCAAATAAGTACCATAGACTATACAAGTTACTAAATAGTCAACAAAATACATATAAGAAAATTATCCACGAATTTTGTCTCACTACTCGTAGTTTAGGCTGAGTTGCACCACCTAACTTTGACCGTAACTTTGACGATAACCAGTGTTTTTTGTACGGAGTTTGAAGACAGATTTTGACGTTTGTTAAAGTTAAAGTAAGATGGTCTCCAGCCTTAATCTCGACAAAATAATATAACAATGTAAACTTTGTGCATTAACCTTTATCGTATCAGCACTGACAATACAACCCGGTGACATAATAACAAAAACGTACTACAATAACATAGCAACCAGTAACACCATCGGCGGTATTGCCGATAAATTTTAATGGGCGCATAAGCGTTTTCTTCCTGTAAACCGGTTAAGTTAACCGCAACCCAATGGCTGTGTAACGTGGGTAACAACCACTTAGAACATTGGAGTCGATCATGGTATAAAATAGATGGGAACAGAAGCACCAAATACGAGTAAATTAACCGCCTATGTGGTCTAGTGGTAAGACCACCTGCTTCAGACGCAGAGTTCCCGGGTTCGATTCCCAGTAGGGGCAGATTTTTCTGTTCGGTTTGGTTGGTGGTAGGGCTTGTTCTAAGTCCGCCTGGCTAGCTATCACCATCTTACCTAAGTCTGTCGCCATAAAAACAATGTTAACAGCATTGTTGTGTTCCGGCAGTTAGAGGTAAGATAGCCAGTCCCTCTGTGGTTGAGGATTTCGGGAGAAGCTCGCTTCCACCTTCGGTCTCATCATCACTTACCATCAGGTGAGATACAGGCCAAGAGCTTCATTGTTGTGGATAAAAAAAAAAGTATCCACTAGGTGAACCGACGATCTACTGAAGGTCGCGGGAAGGGCCTGGATGCGGGCAGCGCAG